GGGGGGGGTCACCTTCATCTCCACGTCTCCCCGCAGCTCCAGCTCGAAGCAGCCGAACTCCTCCAGCACCGCCTTGGTCACCGCCGAGATGTGGATCTTCAGGGCTGGTGGGAGGGGGCACCCATGGGTGACAGCCCCAGTAGCACCCAGGGGTGACCAGTCCCATCAGCACCCAGGAATGACCAGTCCCATCAGCTTCCATGGGTGACAGCCCTGACAGCTCCCATGGATGACCAGTCCCAAGAGCACCCATGTGTGACCAGTCCCATCTGCACCCATGGGTGACCAGTCTCGTTATCTTCCATAGGTGACCAGTCTCATCAGCACCCATGGGTCCTGACACCTCCCATGGGTGACCAGTCCCGTCAGCACCCATGGATGACCAGTCCCATCAGCTTCCATGAGTGACAGCCCTGACAGCTCCCATGGATGACCAGTCCCAAGAGCACCCAGGGGTGACCAGTCCTATTAGCTTCCATGGGTGACCAGTCCCAGCAGCACCCATGGGTCCTGACACCTCCCATGGGTGACCAGTCCCGACAGCACCCATGGGCGACCAGTCCTATTAGCTTCCATAGGTGACCAGTCCAACCAGCACCCATGAGTGACCAGTCCCAACAGCACCCATGGGTGACAGTCCCATCAGCACCCAGGGGTGACCAGTCCCATCAGCACCCATGGGTCCTGACACCTCCCATGGGTGACCAGTCCCGTCAGCACCCATGGATGACCAGTCCCATCAGCTTCCATGAGTGACAGCCCTGACAGCTCCCATGGGTGACCAGTCCCAAGAGCACCCAGGGGTGACCAGTCCTATTAGCTTCCATGGGTGACCAGTCCCATCAGCACCCAGGGGTGACCAGCCCTATCAGCTCCCACGGGTGACCAGTCCCATCAGCACCCATGGGTGACCAGTCCTGTTAGCTCCCATGGGTGACCAATCCCATCAACACCCATGGGTGACCACCCATGGGTCCTGACACCTCCCATGGGTGACCAGTCCCATCAGCACCCATGGGTGACCAGTCCTGTTAGCTCCCATGGGTGACCAATCCCATCAACACCCATGGGTGACCACCCATGGGTCCTGACACCTCCCATGGGTGACCAGTCCCATCAGCACCCATGGGTGACCAGTCCTGTTATCTTCCATGGATGACCAGTCCCGACAGCACCCATGGGTGACCAGTCTCGTTATCTTCCATAGGTGACCAGTCTCATCAGCACCCATGGGTCCTGACACCTCCCATGGGTGACCAGTCCCATCAGCACCCATGGGTGACCAGTCCTGTTATCTTCCATGGATGACCAGTCCCGACAGCACCCATGGGTGACCAGTCTCGTTATCTTCCATGGGTGACCAGTCCCACCAGCACCCATGGGTCCTGACACCTCCCATGGGTGACCAGTCCCATCAGCACCCATGGGTGACCAGTCCTGTTAGCTCCCATGGGTGACCAATCCCATCAACACCCATGGGTGACCACCCATGGGTCCTGACACCTCCCATGGGTGACCAGTCCCATCAGCACCCATGGGTGACCAGTCCTGTTAGCTCCCATGGGTGACCAATCCCATCAACACCCATGGGTGACCACCCATGGGTCCTGACACCTCCCATGGGTGACCAGTCCCATCAGCACCCATGGGTGACCAGTCCTGTTAGCTCCCATGGGTGACCAATCCCATCAACACCCATGGGTGACCACCCATGGGTCCTGACACCTCCCATGGGTGACCAGTCCCATCAGCACCCATGGGTGACCAGTCCTATCAGCTCCCATGGGTGACCAGTCCCAACAGCACCCAGGGGTGACCAGTCCCATTATCTTCCATGGGTGATAGCCCTGACAGCACC